GTAGTACAACCAGTCTTTGGCAAGATCCTCCAAAGAGAAAGGAAAAGCCTTTAGGTATATGTGATCTTCAGGAACATTTTGTGGCTTCATGGTGGAGCGGACTATATGGAACTCCTTGAGATGCTTGTGTGGATCCTCACCGCACGACCATGAAACTTGGGCAACAAATGGATTAGTCCAGCTTTAAGCACAAATGGTATATCCTCTTCAGGGTATTGGATACATAAGTTTGCATAAGTGAAATCAGAGTGCAGCCATCTCCCCGAGAGTCCTCTCACGAGGTCCAATAGGTTGATCACCCATGTTATTAGTTTGGAAATTATCGAAGAAGGTATATTAGGTGCAGTACTCTCACTATGGCTATCTAATGGTTCAGACTCAAGAGATGAATTCCTAGAATGTCTAAATAATCTATGAAAGGTTCTATCTATCTCGGGATCAAAAGGTTGTAAAAGGTCGGGATTGCTCCTAGTCATGCACTATATTCAACAATTCATGTATTTCCCAAGAGTTAAAAAAAAAATTCCTAAAAAAATCAGTTGTTTCATCGGAAAGACAACTGTAGACCGTGAATAAGTACACCAGTGTAGGTTCCCGGAAAGAGAGGTGGGTCACTAATGGACACGCTTAAATACCAAATCTTTCCTAGCCGTAACCCTCCTGACATGCACTCTCACACTACCAAGTTATATCCGGAGTTTCTTATGAGAATGGAAATTATAAAATTTTTTTTTTTATATATAAAGCTAAAAAAAAACAAATTAGAGATGAAATTGTTTTTTTTTTTTTTTTTTTTTTTGAATTATTATTTATATATTTTTTTTTTAATATTTTTTTTTATTATTTTGTTATTTTTATTTTTTTTTTATTTTTTTTTTTTTTAACCAAAGAGAGTTTTAGAACACAGTGGGCTATCAAAATAGTTTTAAGAGAAGTAAGAATTTTAACTTAAATAGAAAATCAAATAAAATATTTAAATAACTAAAAATCAAATAAAATATCCAAATAACAACGAAATCAAATAGAATATTAAATAACTAACAAATCAAATAAAATATTAAAAAACTAAAAATCAAATAAAATATTTAAATAACTAAAAATCAAATAAAATATCCAAATAACTAAAAATAAAATAAAATATTAAAAACTAGCAATCAAATAAAATATTCAAATAACTACGAATCAAATAAAATATTTAAATAACTGAAAATCAAATATTAAAAACTAACAATCAAATAAAATATTTAAATAACTAAAAATAAAATATCCAAATAACAGCAAATCAAATAAAATATTCAAATGACAACAAATCAAATAAAATATTCAAATAACTAAAAATCAAATAAAATATTTAAATAGCTAAAAATCAAATAAAATATTTAAATAAAATAAAATAAAAACAAAAAAATGAAAACAGAAACAAAATAAAAATTGAAAACCTAAACAAAAATCTTGGTCCCCTAAGCATCGGCGCCAAATTTGATCGATGTCGTACTTCGGTCAAATAATTAAAACAGATAAATGTAGTACTAGGAAGCTTTCCTAGGTCGTCTCCCAAAGACCACGAATTTTTATCAAAGCTTATCAATTTTTAGTAACAAAAAATTAAAAGGGGAGTTTTTCAAAATTAAAATATTAGATGAAACGAACAAAAGCAGATTATAAAAATGCGGATTAAAAACAGATTAAAATGCAATTGATTTCCCGATTCTAATGCGAGTGTCACTTATCCTAGATTACTAAATTAATTCAAAATTCACCAACTAAGCGAAGATAAATCCCAAATTATATTCTAATTCAAAATTAATCAACTAAGCGAAGATTAATCTCAAATTAGCTTTTACCCTTTGTTCCAATATGAAATTAACCAACTAAGCGAAGATTAATCCCAAATTTTCCTTAACCCTTATTTTAACATGAAATTAACCAACTAAGCGAAGATTAACCCCAAATTATCCTTATACAATTAAGCATTGCATACATCACATAATCTCATATCTAACACAGAATTAAGAAAACCGTGATATAAGTTTCGGTTTATTAAGCATAAACAGATTATAATTCAATACTGAGATTAGAAGATGAAGAGTTAAGAGAACAAACAATATGAAATTGAAGAACAAAACCTCAAAGATCTACTTGCATTCTTCTCAGAAAATCAATACAAAGATTTAGCTATCCATAGAAAGTTGAAAACGCAATAGAAGAAACATAATTAAAATTGAAACAAGAATTTAAAAATAATGACGGAAGAGTAACAAACTTGAATGTAAATTGCAGAAGATGAAAGACGGAAGTGTGGTGGCTGCCTAGTCCTTGTGTGTTGTCTCCTCTTCGTGTGATGTGCCTCTCTTATATAAATAACCCTAACCCTAATCTTAATCGAGGTTTGGGCTCAACTAGTCCATGAAACACATCATAAATTGGCTTCAGTGCAGGTCCATGAACTTCAAATACGTGCAGTATTTTCAATACTTATCCAAATTAAGCGATTTTGGTCTCCAACGAAAGCCTCTTGAGTTAGCTTTAAAACGCCACCGTTTCTACTATTTTCGGAGCTTTAATGAATTTATGAGACTTAAATTACTGAAGCATGTCCATTGGGCCGGCCTGGTGCGCTTGACCCGTTTTGGATAATTTATGTAAAATCCAATTTAGCTCCGAATTGAATGATTTTGGATCCTGTGGAAAGCTCAATGTGTCTAGTTTATAATTATTTTAGAATCATGTTATTTGGAGATCTGTAGAAAAAATGATAAATAAAACAATAAACTAATGTCAGTACCCGTATAAAATAAAATATGACATTTGGCCCAATTTTTCAAGTCCAAAATTGCTTTATGAGTAAAAATTAGATCAAATAGATTAAAATCTAAATTATTGGCCCAATTAAGCCCAATCAATGAAAATGCACTAATAATAGACAATTAAACACAATGCACCAATTAAGATAAGTATATAAAGATAAGAAAATGCGGGAAAATAATGACTAATCACCCGTGTGCCAACAAGCCGGTCGTATCTGCCACCCACTCCCTATAGGTAATCACTCTTGCCCCCGGGTATAGAGGGACTGTTGTGTGCAAGGGTTTTTGTGTGCAATTTATATTTCAGACAATTTGCAGAAATAATCATACAGCAATTATTAAAGCCATACAATAAAACATACGGAAAAGGGTAAAGGCGTAATTTCAAATCTTTACTTAGTTTGAATTTATCCGTCACTAAATGGGATCAACTCTCTAGCTTCCCTAGTGGAGTCGCCATCTGTCGCCGCCGTCTGTTCTGACGTCCTGGGACATCTCGAACGTTTATGCGAGCGGTCGTGAAAAGATGGTTAAGACTCGCGTTTTTTGTTAAAAATATGTTCATTGCTTCCGAGGCGCTCAACACTCGAACTATCCTCCGAGAGAAGCAAGGTTTTCGAAAAGGGTTCTTCTGAGTCGCCACCAATGTTTTGACCATAAACATTGGAAAAGGAGAAAAAGGCATTGATTTTAATAAAAACCAAACTTGGCCATTATAACCAGAGTCGGGTAAGGGAGTTAGTTACGTGTGGGGAAGGTATTAGCACCCCACAACGCCCCTTTCGGGTTCCCTATGACGGATTAATTCATTTAAGTTAAGATTACAAGAAATTACGCGATTACCCTTATTTTATTGCATAATGTTAAGAATGGCTATCTACATGATTTTATTTTTTATTGCATACAGAAAGCAATAAATAAAACAGTAAAAGATAAGAGAATTGAACAGAACCTCCGTAGCAAGCTTTGTATATCAAATCTTGAATCACAAGGATGCGTTTTGGCAATCCTTCACTCTACAAAGATTCTCCTCTCCAAATACAAGATCGACTCGACTCAATTTTACAGAAGAATCGAATGCTGGAATATGATTCCTTAACTGATTGTTACCTTATAAAGGCAATCAGAGAGTTCATTCGAAGAGGGAAGAGGATAGACAAGTACTCTGAGTTGTCTGGTGTGTGAGGTGTGTCAAATGAGGCTCCTATTTATAGCCATTTTTCGCCTGTAACTTTGGGATGGCCGTCTGGGTTGGGACGGCCGTCCCAAACGCGTTTTCCACGTTGTGCCAATCTGGGACGGCCAGTCTGGGTTGGGATGGCCGTCCCAAATGCAATTTAACACAGGCTGGGACCCCCTGAGGTTTGGGACGGCCGTCCCAAGTTTGGGACGCGCGTCCCAATTGCACAATGACAGTTGGGACGGCCGTCCCAACTCTGGGACGGTGGTCTCGGCCTGTTTAGTCCAGTTTTCGTGTTATGGGACCCCCGGGAAGCTTTCCTTTCCTTTTTCGAACGTAGATTGATGCCGATGTGTGTCTGTTGAAGCTTTATCTTCATGTAGGAAGTCTTATTGGCCTTTATTAAAGTGTCGGGCGAGCTTTATCTCTGTGTAGGAAGTCTCCTTTGCCTTTATTGTGTGGATGGGTGACCTCCGTCTTATTGCGAGAAGTCTTCTTTTCTTTTATTTGGGAAGCCGGGTGAACTTTGTCTTTGTATGAAATTCCCCTAGCTTTTATTTGAGAGGCCGGGCAAAATTAGGGGTCTACACTCATTTTCATTATTAAGGGTCAATAACATGCAGTAAGAAAAAGCCATATATCAACCCCAATATCCAATACAAAAATTTACTAATTCATAATGAACATCAGAAAGTTGGGTTCTTGGCGACATCAAAAAATACACCTTATCAGGTTTTTGTGCAAAAAATATTACATGATTCTCTGCTACATCCAAACACACCAATTGAAAAATATTCACGCCAAATTAACAGTTTTATCTACTTCACACACAAATATGAGTACCAGAATGCAACTGAAAGTGTTGCTTTAGCTTTTCCATTGCAATATAACATTCAAGACGATTGAACTGTGAAAGAGTAGCAAAGGAACAAGATATAGCAACATGAATTTAGAAATAAAGTAATTATTTAAATTTAATTATGGATCCAACCCTAAGAAACAAGGAATTATACCTCCACAGGAATCCATGCTTTGGAACCCGAAGCATCCTTATTTCTACTGCATTGGACTCGCTGGGATATCCGTAGGGGAGACGACTATCCTGGCACTGAATATGCTGTCGAGCGTGAACCGCAGAGGGGATGACGGCGTGGTTGTTGACAATGGAACCACGTTCACGATGTTGCCGGCAAATTTGTACAATGCGGTGATGAGTGAGTTCGCTTGACAAGTTTGGCAAGTTCAAAAGCGCGCGAGGAAGGTCGAGGAAGGAATGAGCAAGTTTAGTGAGAGCATAATGAGAATCGGAGAAAGCGAGACACTAAACTAATGCGAAGGGAATGAATTAATTAATGAATAAAACACTATGCATTTAATATTTTTTTATTCAGTTGTCATTCAGATGTTTAAAATGGGTTGTCAAAATATCGGGACTCTTTTTTTTTCATCCACTAACGCTAACTCGACATCACTCACTCTCCTCACCCCATTCCCCATTTCATTTTCCTCACAACATCGTACTTCCCATTCCTCAACCTTTATCCCATTCTCGGAACCTCATCCCGTCACCCAGCACCCTCCTCTGTGAGCCACTAGCCTCACTTGAATCGCCGCACTCCCCCTAACCTCAGTTGCGGCCTCCACTAAATTTGTGACCCATCACGAGCATCATCGCCAAGCCACCATGAAAAAAAAACACCTCCATGAACCATCCCTCTCATGCCTCATCATCTCCATTGAATCCCAACAACACTACCGAGAGCCACACGAATGCCACCATTGCATCTCAATCATGCCACTGTGAACCTCCATCGCGAACCTCACTCTCGTTACCTGTGCAACGAATCGCCAGCTCCACTGCCAGTTCTGAGTCGCCGCATCTGAACATGACCAAGCTCACAGCCAGCCACCATGAAGCACATGCATCACGACCTACTGCCTAACCACTAAGCCACCATCTACAAGTCACCTAGGTGATGTTTTCTCTATTTTACTTTGGCCCGACCCTATTTTTATTAATTTGGGGGTTATGTCCCTCTATCTGTTTGAATAGTTGGTTTCGAGTGTGGTTTTTTATTGGTTCCAGTTTGGTAGTGTTTGGTTAATCAGTATTTATGGATTACGTTGCCTTTTGATCGGTTCTGATCGTTTTGTTTGGTTCTGGTATGACTATTTGCTTCTAATCAGGGGCTACTAAAATGTTTTGTTGTTTCTGTGTTGGCTATCTAAATTTATATGGATTGAATATAATTGGTTGTGTGTGAGTCTATTGGTCGGGTATTGTCCTAGCTTGGATTGAGGTTTTTACTAGATGGTTAGTCTTGTTGTCACGGATGTTTTGGTCTTGTTGTCACTAGAATTAGTGTTCGGGTTTTGGACTGCCCTTTTCTATTTTGTGTGGACTATAAACTAATTGTTTTATTGTGTTTGGAATGGGTGTTATGTAATTCAGATAAGGTTGAGGGCCTTATCTCAAGTTTTTTTTCTATTATCCCTTTTTGGGTTTTTCTTATTTATGTGTATTATTTAAAAGGGATTGTAATATTGGGTTGGGTTGGGTTGAGACTATATGGTTACTTAATTGACTATTGTTGTGATGTGTACTGGACTGGTACTACGTGTGATATGTGTTTGTACGGCCTCGTGGCTATCTATTCTTTTCGTTATTCTGTCTTGAGGTTGTTGGCCCACGCATTTACGATTTAGTGGTTTTCAGTTCATGCGTTTACAATTTAGCGGTTATTGGTCCATGCATTTAGGATTTAGCAGTTGTCGGCCCATGCGTTTATGATTTAGCAATTGTTAGTCCCATGCTTCGACTTAGGTTATTTGGATTGTCGGCCCTCACAAAACACTTGTAGTTAAGATCGCTCGCATTTCTAAACCTTAATGTCATTTTTAATATTTATTTCCAAAATTAATTCTTTAGACACGGGTGTGGTCGCACGTGTAACTATGTGTCTTATTTTATAAACTTTTGAGGTATGGGTACAGTTGCTTGTGTCGTCATGTCCTCCTCTTAAAATATAACGTTGAGGTACAGGTATAGTCGCTCATGTCATCATGATGTCCTTTATTTTAAATAAGTCATTGAAACACGGGTATGGTCACACGCATCATCATGTGTCTTCAAAACAAACAAAAATAAATTTCTTCAAAACTAAAAATACAAAACTCTTTCAAAAACAAAAATTTTCAAAACATTAATCAAACACACAAACTTTTTCTAAAAAGAACTACGTAACCCTAATTTCTCATTTTGAATAAGAATACGTAGGTGTAAGGTCAATCCTTCTCGGGCCCCAAAAAATAAAAAATATTTTTGTTCATTCTATGTTTTATCTCTTTTTATTTCTTTGGTTTCTATTTTGGGGGAAATAAATATTTTAAAAAAAATGACATTTAATTTCGCACATTCAACTAAGGGTAAGGTAACCGTCTTAGGACTGACGTTGTAGGGTATTAATACCTTCCCTACTCGTAACCGACTCCCGAATCCAAATATGATTTTTGTAGACCTTGTCTTATCTTTATGATTTTTCATAGTTTTCTTAAATAAAATATGGTGGCGACTCCAAAATTTTGATTTATTTTTTAAATCTTAAAATATTTTTGTGATTCATCGTCCTACCGCGATTTCGATTGCGACAAATATCATCAATGTAAATGATCGCTCTGTCTAGTATGAGCTCAAAGATTTTTGTCATGGCTTTTTGGAACAGTGATGGGGTTGTCTTAATTCCAAATGGAATTACTTTCCATTGGTATTGAGCATTGGGTATACAAAAAGCATCGGTTAGATGGGTCAATGCCTAATTGTCAAAACTCAGATTTGAGGTCAAACTTACAAAAGATATAGGCTTCTTTTATCAGAGTGGATAATGACGATGCTTTAGGAATTGGATATTTGTCATCCTTAAGAAATTATTAAGAGGTTTATAATCAATAACTAACCTCTTTTTTCCTCTGATTTTTTTTCAGACCTATTTTCCACATAAAAGGCTTAACAGGCTCAATTGGATTAGGTTGGTTCGATCAGGCCTTGTTTCAATAGTTCCTAGCATTCTTGTCTAACTAACTGTAGGTCTGATGGAGACATTCTTGGATATGTAGCCTTTGTAGGATTGATGTCTTCGTTAAGCTTGAAGTACAACTATACGAAGAACTCAGGGTTCTTCCATAGTGGCTTTGCATGAGAAAAGTCTTCATGACTGTTAGCGCACAAGGTGACTAACTTGTTCTTTATTTCTTCCAAGTCTGGAGGAACTTCAGAGAGGGAGAAGAGTCTGGGTATATATGTGAAAGATCTTAATTCCCTCTTGAATTTGATTCCTGTAGGATGAATTTGAAGCTTATTAGTCATGGAGTAAATGCCCATACCTACTAGTATATCCTTATTGGGAAACTCGCTCCCAATCACTTTGGGCCAGACGGTGCATTATGGGAAGAATTTAATTCCAATTGGAGCTTCGATGACTAGATAAGTTTTGAAGGTTTTTCCATCAGCTACAACGAAATAGGAGGCTTCTTTCTTCCAAAATTCTTTGGGAAGTATGTCTGGATCCATCATAGATTTCTGGGCTCCTATGTTGAGATAAGATATGACTTTAATGACTTTCTCATACTTCGAAGGAAGAAGCTGGATTTCTAAGCATGGTTGAGGAGGAGAGATGTTGATAGGGTTGATCTCTTGGAAAGAGAATACTGAAATAGTATCAGTTTCTAATTCTGCGTCAAGATAGTCGGATTTTGTCTCATCAAAGGAGATAGTGAGGGTGAAGATGGTCTCTTCATCTACATAGCTATGTTCTGAATAGAGAGACTTTATATCATCATTGTCATCAAGCTTGAGGTTAGAGATGAGTTTTATGGCTCTTTCGGCTTTGTGGGGATAGTTCCTGGAGAAGTGTCCTTTCTTTTTATAGATAAAGCATCTTTAATCTTGTGATTTTCCACTGAACTTCTTCCTTTTGAAGAATTTAAAATTCTTCTTTTTCTTGCGAGTAAGTGGCTTGTCCCGCCTTTACTTCTTGCAGTTGCCTGAACATGATTTTTTGCATTTAATCTCAAGATATGGATTTTGGCAGGCTTTATTGAACTTACTTTTTTTAGTCATGATGTTAGAAAAAAAACTCGTGCTGTCTACAAAGCTTGTCAACAGCTTATAGGATCATCTGATGAATTTGACTCATATTCAAGGTAGTGAAGTCCTTCTGGATAGTCATTGTCATACTGTTCAATTCTGGTTGTATCTCAGTAGGAAGGGATGCAACATAAGTGTTCTTCAGGCTAGGATCATTGAGTCCATTGATATGGTAGAACCTCTTGCTCATTCATTGGTAGTGTTTCTCCAGGTCTTTGATCTTGGTTGAGCAACATCTCATATTGAAAAACTTTTGTTTGAGCTTCTTATCAATTATTGAGTCATCATCCCCTATGAATTCTTCATGTAAGGCTTTGAATACTATTGAGGTTTGTCCCAATTCATAGAATTAGTTTTGTCTGACAACTCTGAGGTTATGATACCATTCTTTGAGAGTCTTAGTCATTCTATAACAAAATTCTTCAATAACCTTGTAGGAATCTGAATCCTTAACTAGCTTGATGTCTAACCAGACTCTAAATTTGATCAGCCTCACTCTCGATTGGCTTTGAGGGATGTCATCAATAGTGAACCAAGATCCCTCATTTGGCTTTGAAGAAGCATTTGTCCTAGTAGGACCAGAGTTGACTTCTTCATCAGAAGAGTCGTAGATGGGTTCATGCTTGACTTCTGATCTGGAGCTATTGGTCATCAAAAATTGAGTTAAGTCTTCATAACTAAGAACTTCTATTTCTGACTTTTCGGAGGAATATTCTTCAACAATTGTAGGAGTATCCATAAAAGTTGGAGTTGTAGGAGTATCTGTAAGAGTTGGAGTAGGATATGGCTCTATAGTCATCGGAGTGTATGGATCTTGAGAGTCTTGGAAAACTGGGTCAAACAGGTCTTATTTTTTAGGTGAAGGTTGATATTCAAAGGAAGATTCTAGAGAATGTGAGATGACTGACCTTCTTGCCTTTGTTTGGTTTTGATGCTGCTGATCTAGGCCATGGCCTGTAAGCAGTGGCTATGGGTAATGACCAAGAACGGGTTCTGGAAAGAGGAGTAGACTTGAGAAGAAGTAAACAAGGAAGAATAAGGATCTTTCTCTGTTTTTTGTTATTTGACTTTCGTCTCAATATAATTGTCCATCTCTTGGATCTGGGCCTTGAGCCTTCTGATCTCTTTTTCTTTAGCGTGAGATAGTTCTCCAAAGATGGTGTTTTTTCAATCTTCTTCTAGCCTTAAGAATTGTGAGAAAAGTTGTTTGTAGTACTTTCTCAAAATGGAGTTGAGGTGTTGGAGCTAATCATCGATCTCCTCAAGGTGTGTAGAGATCTTATCTATCTTCTAGTTAATCCATTGCAGGATAGAGTTCTGGGCTCTAGCATTTTCTGGCTTAAGGGTTTCGTCTTTCCATCAGGACTGATTTCTTATCTGACAACATGTGGTTTGGTTGTCGTCTTGGTCATGCGATCAATGTTCCTCTCAAGAGGAGTAAATTTTTCTTTGTAAGTTGTCAGGTTGATCATCATGCATGGAATGGGAGGAGCAACAGGAGGTGGCAAGGGAAAGAATCTGCACCTTTCCTATTACGAAAAGAGGAGACCTTCCTCTTCGAGAATCTCAGCATTTCGTTGGTATTTCCACAAGGGATTTGGTTTCTCTTGGTGATGAAGTCCTATCCAAGGACCTTTTCCTAGTTCAAATCTTCTGCTGGTAAAGAAAGGAGGTTTGCAGGATCCTCCTTTGTAGTCATCATCTTCATCGTTTGAGTCACGCTATCCTCATCACTGGTATCTCCAGTGTGGTTGCAATAGTCACAATCGGAATTACACA